ATGACCCTTTTGGCTGTATTTTCCAACAAGAGCAATGCATAGTTTCCCTGCCATGCAGAGCCCCAACCTGCTGCTTGTAGCTGACTGTCGTGATTGCCAGTCAGTTCTGTTTTGAGGATTTCCCCTCCTTTCTTCCATTAGGCTTCCAGGGAATGCCAAATGCCATGCGCCAGTCTGGACCACGGCCAGCACTGCGCCATCTGGCCCCTGCCGGCAATGCTCCAGCCTCTCGTGGCCTCCCTGCCGCTGCCCAGCGAGTTGGTAAGGTGTCTGCCTCCCAGGCTCTTCCCCTCATTCATGGGGAAGGGGGATGGTATTAAGACTTGACTTTTACATCAGACGTGGATAACGGAAGGCTGCCTGGAGCAAGGGGCAAAGACGGCACCTGAATCTTTCCTGTTCCTTGCTGTGCAGTGCAGGTCTGGGGACAATTGGTGCTACAGCAAAGCAGTGGAAATCCAGATGGGTTGCTTTCCTTTCACCTGGAACTCATCTCTACAACTCTGCAACACTTACTGCTCAAAAATGGCTCTGTAGATTATGGGTGGTGGTTTCAGAGTAAAGCATCCAAATTCACTTTATTTCAGGGAATAAGTAGAAAATGTCTTAAAAGCAGATATAGAATCTATGGCTTAGTGTTAGGGAGGGTAGCTCCTTTCTAAAGAAGCCAATTGGATTTTGGAGGCCAGTTTCTAAACCAGTATTAGGCTGTGCAGTGCATAATTAAAGTCCAGCAGTTAATATCAGACATCCCAATTTGCTTGCTGCGTGTTACTGTGGCTGTGTAATTCTGTCCTACTCTTCCTTTTCAGGTGTTGCCGCTGCAGCGCAGAATTTAGCTCCTCGTCCGCCAGTAGCTGCCCCTGCTCCCCGAGCAGTTCCTCCTTATAAATACGCCTCGAGTGTTCGCAGCCCACATCCGGCTGTACAGTCTTTGCAGGTAATGCAGTGGTCTGCTCTGTCAAGTCTGTCTAGTTAACGACAGTCCAACAGGTTTTACACGCAGCTGAAGTGTTTTTACAGAAACTTCAAGCTACTTTTTTATAGTCCCGACAGGGATCAGAAACTGGAATTTAGAAAACTGGCAGTTGTCGTCACATACCTCCGCCAGGGGCAACTTGGTTGATTTGTCTGTCTTACTCTTCTAAGCCCTTTTTATCCAGATTTGCTGTAAGGCTGCTATTCTTGGCTCTTTGCTCTCACACTTTTGCTAGCTTTCACTCTCTCTCATCTCTTTGCTGAATTCTCGCTAGGGTATCACTGAAAGCACAGCTTGCCTCTCTATACACCGCTGCATTGTGCAAAAAGCAAACATGGGTGTTTCTCTTTCTCTGCCATGACATTTGCCTTATAATGCAAGGTCCAGTTTTTATAACTAGGATATTTGCAAGCTACGTGCCCCTGTGTGACATTCTAGTTTTTGAGAATAGGACTTGGAGCGTGTTTGTGAACACAGGGCACCTTATCTGTCCTTTTCTGAAACTGACTCTACTGCAGGCCTGACAGAGTGCCATGTTTTAGAGGAAGGAAGAACTGCCTTGTCTTTAAATATGAAACAATCAGTCTGGCATCTGTTTTTGAATCCTCATCTTTGCCATTCTATAGGCACCTCAGCCTGCAGTACATGTGCAGGGACAGGAACCACTAACGGCCTCCATGCTGGCTGCTGCACCTCCCCAGGAGCAGAAACAGATGCTGGGTAAGTGAATCTCCTGTTTTTTTACAGATCACATCTTATTTTGGAAATCCCATCAGGTTTCAGAGAACTGTTTGATGGAAGCCAGCCTGTCTGAACTGTTTTGTTTGGTTGGTTTTGTTTTTAGGCGAGCGTTTGTTCCCTCTGATTCAAGCTATGCACCCCAGCCTTGCGGGGAAGATCACAGGAATGCTGCTAGAGATTGACAACTCGGAGCTGCTGCACATGCTAGAGTCTCCAGAATCCCTTCGGTCAAAGGTAAATTGGCCTGTTCCTTCAGAGGGGGCGTGGATTGGGGCACCTTAGTGAAGAGAACAGGTCTCACTTTGATAACTTGTCCACCCAAGGTGGAGGAGGCTGTTGCAGTGTTGCAGGCTCATCAAGCCAAGAAAGAAGCTGCCCAGAAGGTGGGCGTGGTTGCTGCTACCTCTTAAACCAGGAAGACTGGTGAGTGTCCCGGTCCTCAGCTTCCGATAAAAGTTTCCCAAATCAGAGTACATAAAGCGTTATTGTCAGTGTGTGCAGCCTGTCTGGAAACCTGTGTGTAGGTCCAGGTGCAGCACTGACTGAAAGACTGATGCATTTTCTCCAATAGAGAATCGTTACGGTAGAAGCTGTAGAGGTATGCTTCAAAGATCTCACTGTATTTAAGTATCAGAAAGATGTTGCATAGGTTCCTGAAGTGTCAACTACTAGGAGCATGTCAAGGAAGGATAATATATTGAGATGAGGCTTCTGAAGCTGCTAATCTAGGAAATAAAAAAGGTAAAAGATGCACAAGATGTTCCAGTGACTTCAAGGCTAAATAGACTGCTAATGCCAGTTCCTTATCCTGACAATCATCTGCCTACAGTATATATTAAAGTCCTGGTGTCAGGAATGTCATTTCATTGTGTAGGTTTATCCAAGCAAGCACTGTCTGTGTTTGGTCCTGGCTCTCATTTGACTTCTGGATAAGATTTTTGATTCTTTGAAGGTTCTTTTTGCTTTTGTTGATGAATTCCTCCATGTGGGTTTGTCTGGACTTAACCATGAACGTCTTGCACTTTTTGTGAAGTTGTTCTGGTCAGATGTCACAGGAAGATGTCACAACTCCAAATGGTAAAGAATGATGAGGGTTCTTATATTTCATTAGTGAATTTCTGAGTGGATCCAGTGATTGGCTTCTCCACGAAAGATGTGAATTTCTTACCAAATCATCAGCAATGGATATTATCCGCAAGAGGAAGACAACTTCTCTGTTCGTTGCAAGTTATACTGGAGTCCTTATGGTTTATAACGCTGGATAGTTCACTAGCCTGGTGTGAACTATGCCATATGCAGATAACTTGTCTTCCTCTTTTTTTACAGGATGCAAAGAAGCCAAATAGTCCCTTCCTAGACATCAGCTCAAGATGTTTGAAGATTCTTCACTGTCCTGCAAATCTCAGTGCCATGCATCATATCACATAGTTAGTTATATTGCATTTTGTAAATTAATCTTTACAATCTTATTTAAAAAGCCAGCTCCATGAAGCTCTAGATTTCCAAAACCAGAATTAAGTTTGCAAGCTTTTCCTTTGTGGTCAGGACAGTTACCCTTTGTCTTTTCTAGGCAGGACATCGAGGATTTCTGATTGAAAGTTTTTTGTGGTTTTGGTTTTAACTGAACAATCCAGTTTGGAAAGTCTGGAAAGCGTTTATCAATAAAGGAATAAAAACTTTCACTACATTTGTTGTCTTTTTTCTAGAATGTAGTAAGCTGCATCACATTAACTTATCAAATTGAACTGGCAGGCAGTTGTCACATGATTGATATGTTAAATCGTGATTGAATTGAGTTATTCTGCTTGTTAACTTTGGACAATCACAGTTTTGGAGCAACTGTGCTAAAGTTCTGCCACAGGATGATTATGTTGGGTTTGGTTAGTGTCCAAATGGTGAATATAACCAAGTGGTGACCTAATAGAAGGCAGTGGGAGGCATTTTTCAAGTGGAGCATGAAAGAGGTTTGGATCGCTTTTTGTTGCCTGTGGGAGAAGAAATTCTTTCCTGCTCTTCGCATATATTCTTCCTTCTTTCAGCTGGATGTTTTCCTTAGTGGTTCTGTCATTACAGAACAATCTGGCTTTTTTATACTCTACAAGGTGGCTGTATTCTGGTGGTGAGGTTAGTAAATGCTTTGTAAACCATTTTGGGTGATCCTTTGGGATGAAAAGCATTTGGTTACCCTGTAAAAGGAGAATGGCTGCTCCCTAGTGGAACTGAGGCTTAATTTGGACTTGCAAAACTAGAAACTTGTGCCTGAGAAGGTCCTCGAAAAGCAGAAAGACCTCTCATGTGCATTGTAATGTTGTTTTGCCTGCCTGTCCTGTGGGGGGGGGGTATTTTTATTTTTATTTAAGAGCAGGAGAGGGTAGTAAAACATGCAAGTATCCCCCTTGGAAATCAGGTAGTGTGACACACAACACCGGACCTTCCACGTCGGAGGCGCTGCCCGCGGGG